TGTGCATTCTGGGTTTACTTGGACAAGTGTCACAGTGTTCGCTTTGCCAAATAGAGTTACGAGATATTCTTTCAAGTTTAGAACATTTTCTGCGTAATCGTTGGTTTCCTTTATAATTTCGTTTACCAATTCGTCCGTGAAAAATAATTTAAAATATTGTATCGGCTGTTCGATGTTTGTAGGAACTTGTGGTCCAACGCGACCTGTGACAATACGCTAAAAGGTATTCTATCTGGAATATGTAATTCTTCCGCAACATCACGCCATTCGTCCAAGTCTTGTAACGAATCTTCGCTTTCGCTTTCAATAATTCTCATTCTTCGTCTCTTTGGTATTATAATTTCGCTACTACCACTCGAAGCGTCAGAATCATAACCAACATTGTCTTCCACAATGTCTTTTAACTCTTCAAAATCAAATACGTCTTCGGTATCGCTCGGCTCTAAATTCTCATCGTAATATTTATTTTTCTCCATGTTGCTAACCATAGAAAAGGTCGAAAAATGGTTTAATCGTAATGATACAGACTTGGCACGTTTTAACTACAGATAAGAATTGCTAACGCCGACGATAACGTATGGTAAAAACATTTGGTTCCGCAGCGGAGCCTTCGGAGTTACGGAACAAATGACAAATGTCTCCGTAGCGGAGCCTTCGGGCGCTAAGGGTTGAAGCTTCGGTTTTTGGACGATCAGAAATGTTAGGACAATTTACCTAATAAGGAAGGCATATGTTTTCTCGCGTCGCCGGTCATTTGCCGGCGAACCTTTATTATCGCACCGCTTCGATTATCCAAACTGCCTCGTCCCCCGACGCGTTCGTATAAACGAGATTCTACCGCATTAGCCCGCGATTGGAAAACGCATATGAAAAGTAAACGAGCTTGAAAATTGGGAATGAAAACACACTCTCGTTCGAAGACGGTGCAACGGAAATGAATTGCCGGCCGCGAATATGACCGACGAGGTATTCAACGCGTTAACGAGCGACCATAGCAATGCGGGTCGAATAGAATTGCGCGGTCATAGCCGAAAATCTGGTCGCATCGTCGAAATGCGGCGGACACCTCTGGTGGAAATCGCCTTCGGTAATTGCAGGGGTGTGCTGGCCGGTGGCTGGGAACAACACGCATTTGTTTTTCGCTATTTACGCGGCCTGAATGAAAATCACTGGCACGGAAGTGGTTGTGCCTCGAGTACAATCGACGATCTACCGGCTGCCGATGAGACACTCGAGTTACCACTTGCCTTGTTAAAGCTATTTTAACCGATGCAAAACATGCCACTATTTACGTCCTTATTTCTCGACGAGCCGCACAGAGCTGGCCGACTCGTTACGTAAATAACGACGGATAGCTGTCGAGTGCCCGAAGCCGCTTCAACCCTCCTCCTCCCTCCCCCCTTCAAGTAAAAACGTCCCGACGGAAATCCCCCCCGCCTCGCTCTCGAACCAGGCCTTTAATCAATTTTTTTCATAACCTTCGTCCAACAGATTCATTCATTTTCTTGTATAGGACGCAGTCGCGCAAAGGAGAGCCTTTATTGCCAATCGGAGCGATTGGACTTTCAATTTTCAAATTAACCCCTTTCCGTGCAATTTCATTTCGACGCTGGGAAATCAAATAATATAGCTCGCGGCGAGAGAAGGCGAGGAGCGAGAAGCGAGAAACAGTCCGTCCGGGGGACGTTTAAGCGTTTTCGATGTAAAATACATCGTCCTGTTCGGCAGAGCGGACGAACGTCCTCGCGCATCTTCCGCGGGTTTGAAGCGGAGACGATTCTTAAAGCGGAAAATTTGCCTTTCCGGCCCTTCGGACGGGAGCGTGGAGGAACTCGGGGGCTGAAATTTAATATCGCGGTTGGCCAGCTAATCCCGCGCGGCTTAAAGGGCGCGAGGAAAAAAAAAAGGGAAACAACCCCTGCGAACCCAAGGATCTTTACCACCGGATTTACGGTGGTGTTGGCCAAACGAATAGCCGACGAACACACGAAGGAGTTCGGGGTCGAAAACGCGGTCGGACAGTGGTCGCCGAACACTCCCGACATCTTTTTTTTCTTCTTTCGCGTGATCCCCTCGTTGGAAAGAATGGGACGGAACAGAACCGCGTACGGAACGGCGCGACGCGGGGGAGGCGGGATCCACGGTTGACCTGCTTACGGCTAAACGCTGCTCTCTCCGTCGAAACAGCGAGCTAATTCTATGTGATCAGCGAAGTCCGAGCTTCGCGATCCGACCGTAAATCAGGTTCCCACGGATTTATGCCCGCCGAGTAGTCGGCTTTTAAATATCAAAATCGTAAATTACTTCTATTCTCGTGTTTGTGCGCCAAGCTTTGCCGTATCGATTTATCAGCGACCGGTGAAATTATAGCCGGCCGCGGTTACCGTTATTCGATCTCCGGCCTCCTAATTGCTGGTTAACGATGCCGCTCCTCTGAATCTGATTCGGGCAAATACAAATCTTAAATGGACACGTGCTTTGCTAACGATGTCACGCGTTTCCGGTCGCTGAAATTTGACGCCTCGCCAGGACGGAATCGAATGAACTCTCTGTGCGCGTCGGTGCTGAAAATTATGATTACACGAGCTGCGGATTTTATGCGTTTATAAGAAAAATCGGGAATTGGCGAAACAGCGGATAAATTGCAAGAACCGACGCACGCCATCGCGTCGAGGTCTCGTATAGGTGACACTAATTTTTAATTAGGCTTCGAAATTTGTTTTTATTCCAACATATGCGAACGAATTGTATGGAACTAGCATTTTTAGAATGCAAAAGAATTAAACTGATAACAGCTATGGTAAATTTTAACTATCTGTTTTCTGTTTCATTGATAAAATGACTTTGACATCGTGCGAATTTTAGGGGTTGATTCGGCGTGTAACGAGCGCGTTAAGAGACAAGATTCATTTTTATTTCGCATAAGGATCCGCGGTTAATTTATCGAGCACACTCGAGGGATGCCGTGCTTTTCGGTGACACAATATTTTAGTTTATATCTCGCAAACGGCTACGTTGCATTTAGCAAAATGTTACACCTATAAAAGCTACCGCTGAAATGAACGCTGTCAGCCGACCCGTTAAACTGAAATGTAGTTTTAAAAAGAAATTATGAACTGAGATTATGATATATTATATATTTTATGAAAATCTTGCCGCGTGAAATTCGATTACGATTACTTCTCTGTTCAACCATATTGTATTACGATAAAAGATCGGGATTGATTTTCTTCACATTTTGTTTAAACGCAGCACATTTAAAAATATATACAGGGTGTCCCAGATTTTAATGTTCAAACTTTGTCAATATATTCTATGGCACAAAGTGAGAAAAAAATAGGTCATATAGAACTTTATTAAGAAGTTATAACAAAAATTCAGAATAGGAATAGTAATCAACTTGCTGTTACTGCGAGCATTGGCTCGAATAGATCAGCACATGCCGTGTGTTTATGTAAGCTGTGTTTATGAATACATTTCGAAACGTATTAATAACCGTTGTTGACAATACATGATTGACATCGATCGAAGATTTTTTTAATTTTTATTTTTTTTTTAGTTGATTACTATTCCTATTCTGAATTTTTGTTACAACTTCTTAATAAAGCTCTATATGACCTATGTTTACATAACATTTTTTTCTCACTTTGTGCCATAGAATATATTGACAAAGTTTGAACATTAAAACCTGGGACACCCTGTATATAACTTAATGAACAATACGAAAGTATGTATCCTTTCTGACCAGTTAGCTGTTTTTAACGTAACGCAAAATGTTGTCGAGTATAGTCGACAAAAATAGCTAACTGGTTAAAGAGTGTCCACATCTACAGGGTACCCCAAAAATGTGTCGCAATCCGGAAATGGGGGTTTCCTGAGGTCATTTCAAGTTACTTTGTCCTTTGCGAAAATGCAATCCGCGGCCTCGTTTACGAGTTATTAACGAAAAACAGTGGCCAATCAGAGACGAGCTCGGCTGGCGCGTGGCGGCCGAGCCAACGATCGGTTAAAGCCCAATTCCGCTGATTGGCTCGGCCTCCTAGCGCTAGGCCTCGCCTCTCGCCTCTCATTGGTCACTGCTTTTCATTAATAACTCGCAAATAAAGCCGCGGATTGCATTTTCGCTGAGGAAAGAGTTGCTTCAATTGACCTCGGGAACCTGCCATTCCCGGATTGCGAGATATTTTTGGGACACCCCGTATTTGTCCCACGCCGTATTGCAATAGGAAGGTGTACGAACTGCGAGCAACCCTAACAGCTCATTGTCATAAACCAATATACACGAGCCGCGTTCACGTTTCGTTAATTCTATCGTTAAGAAAGTTTCGATTCCAGATTGTTGCAAGCGATTATTCCACGATTATTCCTTAGAGGCAAGAATAACGCGAATGGATTCGTGCTTACTCGAAGCTCGCATGAAGGCTCGTGCGAAAAGGTTGTTGCGACGAGACGCGCGTTACCCGACCGATTTACAGGCGTCGGGGCCGAATAACACGGTCCTCGGAAGAATAGGAAGGAAAATATATCGACGATGATGACACGCAAAATGTGCGGAGTCAGGCAAAAGCGAAGCTCTACTCACATTTTCCGCTGCCTTTGACTACGAGGACCTGATTCCCAGCTTGGCGGTGCGGCGTGTGTCGCAAAAACTGTGACCTTTCGGCTGCAGCCTCTTGATGATTTTCCTATGCGGCCTACCGGCGGGCCTATCCGCGCGACCGTCCCCGAATAATAGAACGAAAATGAGAATTCGTGGCGTATTACGAAGGCATCGATCAAACGCGGCCGGATTTCATCAGAGAGCGGCGGCCCAGAGACATATACACGCGCGGGCGGTTGACAGGATCGGAGAGGAAAAAAAAATAGGAGACAGAGAGTGAGAGAGTGGGAGAGAGAGAAAGAGAAAGAGAACGAGAAAGAGAGAGTAAGTGAGAGAGAGAGAGAGAGGGTGAAGGACAGAGAGGAAGAGAGAGAGAGAGAGAGGAGAGCCGGCGATTTTTAAAGAATCGCACCAGCGAGCGATATTTACGCGTCTCCGACGGCTGCTCCTACACGATCGGTTATTTATAAAGCCATTCACGATAATCAATAACCTATGCCGTTCTCCCTTGCACGGCGAAAATTCACCAACACCTCGAACACTTGCAAAACCCTCTCTCGAACGGTTGAACCGGGGAATATTTCATCGACGAGCCTGTGCTCTCGGTCCGCGCTCGCCGAGGGGCCGAACGAGAGAGATACGTACACGGAGAGAAAGAAAGACAGCGTATGTCTATGAGTGCGTGAGAATGTATGCGTGCGAGAGAAAGAGAGAGGAAGAAAGAGAGAGAGAGAGAGAGACGAAGAGAGAATGGGAAATGTAAACCGCGTAAATTCGTTCGAAGATTCACGAAGCGTGCCCGTCCGAGAAACGATATCGAAAGTTCCGCGTCGTAGATCGCGAAATCCCGGTTCACGCCTGGTTAACCTGCCGCTCCCAGGGGAGGGAATGTTTATTAAATACTAACGCGCAGGATGCACCGCGACTCGTGCAAGTCCTGCGGCCCCTTCCCCGAACGGTGGTTCGAACAGTGGGGGATGAAAACGGTTAATTATTAGCCGGTGGGATTCGCCGGCCGGATTACGCCGAATAATGAACAGGAATCGCGTTAAACCGAGAGACCGGGCTATCAATGCGGTGGCGCGCGGCAGCGGGACGGAGGGTGCAGATAAAAGGCGATAAAAGAAGGCGGGGGACGCGAGACACCCCCTCGAGTGTTGCACAGAAAAGTTTCACCAGGAAGAGTTATATACTTCGCGGCAATAAAACGTGCTGCAATGGCCTGTAAAGAAATTTCGATGGCTTAGAAATCTATTCTCCCGTCGCGACGGGGGTTGTTTCCCGGGCCCGTCGTCCGATTCGAAACGATTACAGCAATGTCTCTCTAATCGACGCCCAGATTGCGCACAAAAATAGACAATTTGGGAAGAGGAGATTATTCGCGAGCCTCGCGGTTTATTTTTATAGTTATAAATTGTCCACAATTATAAAGACGAGCCGCGAGGCTCGAATAATTGTACCTCGTCTTCCCAAGTTGTCCATTTTTGTTTCCAAGCTGAGGATTTTTAAGCTCAGGATTCCAAGCTCAGGATTCCAAGCTAAGGCTTCCAAGCTCAGAATTCCAAGCTGAGGATTCCAAGCTCAAGATTCCAAGCTCAGAATTCCAAGCTGAGGATTCCAAGCTCAGAATTCCAAGCTGAGGATTCCAAGCTCAGAATTGCAAGCTGAGGATTCCAAGCTCAAAATTCCAAGCTCAGAATTCCAAACTCAGAATTCCAAGCTCAGAATTGCAAGCTGAGGATTCCAAGCTCAAAATGCCAAGCTCAGGATTCCAAGCTTAAGATTCCAAGCTGAGGATTCCAATCTCTGAGGATTCTCTTCCCAAGGAGGAGATCTCTTCCCAAATTATCCAATTTAGTGGACAATCCGAGCGTCAGTAAGGAAGACATTACTGTATAGCGGTAAGCGAAAAGTATTTAGAAATATCGATCTATCGAACGGTAGTTTAAATGTGCAACAATAACGCTTTCCAAGTTGTAATAAAATCGATGCTGATCTTATACACCCTGAAAAGCGTTCCATAATAGGTAGACGGTCGAGGAGGTCTGTGTTGCAACTAATTTTGAATTTTTCTTCCATTAACCCTTTGCACTCGAAGCTATTTTAACTAAATAAATAAATATAAAATCATTTTTCTAACTTACAGCATTTCTATTATACGCGACAAAACGCATTTTATGCGCATGAAATTGACTCTTGGGACTCGCGCGATAATTGCACTCTTAGCAATCTTTTAAAATCTAAACATTGTTGATATAAACATTATCTTGAAACGTGATATAACAAATTTCAGTGGTGCCTCAGAGTCACCATTCGAGAGCAAAGGGTTAACCCGACCAAAGTGTCGGTAGGCTCCCCCGGGATTGTCCTGCGTTGAAAGGCAGCTCGGTAATTTTCTTTTTAATGGCGACCAAGGAAGAAAGTTTTATTGGATCACTTTGCTCGTTAACTGTCTTCTCGATCGACGATCGAGACCGCTATCGATGAAGAAAGACGGTCGGACGGTAATTAAATCTTTGCCCTCGAATATCGCCGATACGGTGACGGTAAATTATCATTTGTTTAAGCTACTCGTGTAAAATACATGAATAAAAATACAAAATCTTTTATTCGTTGAATCCTAACAGTGCAACGATGTTTATTTCGATTCAACTTTCCGTAGAAAAATCAGAATGTTTGCAAAATTTGCTTTCAGCTGCCGATAGGTGTATCGGAAAAATCTTTCCGAGTGCTAAGGGTTAAAGGGTAGCTGCTGTTGCAGCCTGAAGTTGAAAGTAACGCACCGATGGAATAAATCGTAAACGAAGGAAGCCGTTAATTACGCGCGGAAAAGTTTCGCGAGGCGAGAATCGGTTGATACGTAAACTTGCCGTAGGATATGCACGAAATACAGGTAATGAAAATCCGACAAGAAACCCTGAGAAAAGTTGGCTTGGTAAACGTCCAAAAATCGCACGATCCCTCTATTGTGTTCGGCTCGATGGCTGATACGAAATCCCGTCCGAAAAGGAAAAATGGCTGTGAAATTGACGGATACAGGAAAAAAGAGTCGTGTAAAAATACGAGCTTCCGCCGTGCGCGGGACGACGTTCTCGAATTTCGGAGAATCATCGGCAACGATTCGTAATGTTACGTACCGATCGAATCGGAAGAACGACTCGACGATTCGGCCTTTCTCGGGCCGCGATGTGCCACAGAAGGTTCGCGCGGATCGCGACTCCGAGCAAAGTCGCGCGAACAATTGGTTCGAATCACCGAGTCGTCGAACAACTGGAGAACAATTTTTTATTTTTTGCTGCTCGCGTTCCGTTACGGTGGAATTTTCTTCGATTGCCCGGACAAACGAGATCGCACACCGCGTAAAAAAGAAACCGAGCACGCAGGAACCGCGCGTAACGATCGCCGTAGAATCACACTCGCCGGTCGAATCTTTCGGCGAATTTGTCGGAGAGGACGCCGCATTTTGCGCGGGAGAGAGAGAGAGAGAGAGAGAGAGAGAGAAGGGATTGCGTGCACGAGTTGGAAGAAATAAGCGCGACTCACCCCCGAACAATAAGATTCCCGCGGCTTTCACAGCGCGACGTCCAAGCGTTCCCGTTAGCCGACGATGGAACATCCACACGTCGACGGAGCGAAACGGCGCGACGCGAGGTGCGCGACCGGAAGTCCGCCGAGCGACTATCGCCGCCGATACAATAGTTATTTCGCCGCTAGACCCGGCCGCGCTTTCTTGGTGGGGGATGAAAATTCCAGAGGGGAGAGACTGGCGACGGGACGAGGTGCAAAACGGGGGTAGGGGGTTGCCGGTTTTCACGAAACTGGTCCCTCGTAACGAACCGACGGCGCGCAACTGAACTTTGTTTCGCGGACTGCGGAATGCGGGGCCTGCCGCCGACCGGCCAACCGAAAAGTATCCCTCTCAACCTACCCCTCCCCCCTCTCCCCCCGAGCTTCTGTGCCATTAATTCGGGGCGGCGCGGAGTGGGCGGCATAAAGCGCGCGCGTGCAACAGCGAGCGGACGAGCGAGCCGGCGCTACATGCAAGAATGGCTACAGGAATCCTCCTAACGAGACAAGACGGGACGAGCATTATTTCCTGTCAGCGAAAAATATTCCAGCCCGTAACAATGAAATATCTATTCTGTACCGTGCCCGAGATACTCGTGCAAGCTCTGGCATGTATCGCTGTTCAACCGTAACGAAGCGAAAAAAAAGAAAAACAGCAAGACGTTATTTTCTAGACATTTGTTGTGCCTCGACCTCCCTGCCTCCCTCTCCCCCCTCATTCTCTCTCTCTCTCTCTCTCTCACCGTGCTCCTCGCTCTTCATCCCTCGCCAGCCTCCGAAACCCGTTTTTCCGACGTCCGCGACGCCTCCGACCGATAAACTCGACCTTCCTTTTCTGCTCGTTTTAACCGTGAACAGGGCGGACTGGTTTAATTGCCAATTGATAGCCGTGTTTTCGTTTTTCCGAATCGGAACCTCCCCTCCTCCTCTCTCTCTCACTCTCTCGCCCTGTCTATCTTTCTACATCCGGCCAAGTGGTGCTCGAATTGCGGAAAAGATCAAGGTCGGGTCGAAACACTCGAGATAGTTTTGCAACAACAGTGACGAACACGCTCGCCGCTCCAGAATTCTCTGCTGTCCGCGTCGTTTCGCCCCGGAACGGGAAACCGTGCGTTTTATTTCGACCGTCGTCGACTGTCGCGAGACCGAACTTCGCCAACGGAATAGTTCTCGTCCGAGCACGCGAGGCCGTTTAGGAGGAAGGCCGATTCCATGTTTCAGAAATCGTCGGGCACGCTGCCGCGACGCGTCCGCCGGACGATTCTCCCTTCTCGCGAACGCTAATTCATCAGCCGGGTATCCCTGCGAACCGCGAAATAAAGAAGACCGCACGAGAATCTCGATCAATTCTCGCTGGAGGAAACGGGACGCGCCATCCATTTCCGCCGGCGACCGGCGACGGGCACACTAAATTTCCCGGGCACCCATCGGAATTCGACCGAAGGAGCAACCGCCGTAACAAAGTTTCCATTCCGTCGAACAAACCCTTTCGATTCCGCGGAAGTTTTACGATCACTGTTAAAGAGAGAGAGAGAGAGAGAGAGAGAAGAGGCCGAGCGGACCGCGAAAGTTGAATCGGTGAAAAGCGTCGGACCGTCGAGGGAGCCGCGCGGTCGTAAGAAGCGGGACGCTCGGGATAAATACGATTCTGGTGAATAGAGTAGAGCTGGATATACACAGAGAGAGAGAGAGAGAGAGAGGAGGGACGAGCACATATTTGAAACGTGGCCGCGCGTGGCCTCGCGTTAATTAACGCGAGCGACCGAGCCAGCGGTGCGCCGGTTCGAGAAGCCGGTTCTGAAACCACGCGGCGCCGCGCAGCTTAAACAAGCCGCCTTTAAGTCTTTAAGCGAGGAGAAAATCGGCGGTGGCCGTCGAGTAGGCAAGGTTCCCCATTATCAAACCTCGTCCCCCGCCGAATCCGCTGGATATCCGGCGTTCGCCGCGCGCGCCCCCGCGATATTATCCTCTCCGTGCCGCTTTGATCCGCGACGCGCGACGAACGAAGAACGACCGAGCGAAGGGTTCGCGAGCCGCCGAGCGGAACTGTTTTAATCGTTTCACACCGGCACGCTCCCGGGACATACACAAAACGCCTCTAACGAGGAGAGGGTAAACGAAGACCGGCGGAGACCGGCCGAGGACCCTCTCCGCGCACTCGAAAACCAAACAGCCATTCTCTCGCACCATGAAAACCCTCGACAGGAAGGGACGAAGACAGGGACAGAGACAAAGGGAGGGAGGGAGATAGAGAGAGAGAGAGAGAAAACTAGCGCGGCGACCGGCGGCGCGTTCCCAATCTTCGAGTGCGAATCGCGATCCATCGATCCATCGCGATCGAGCGGCTCTATGGGAAAGGAGGACACCGGAATAGCGTCCCACGGTAATAACTTGCTCCCCCGAGTCCCGGTTTTCTTTCCTCTCGGTCGGCGCGCCGTCGCTTTTTATAATTAATCGATAACCGGTCGATCGACGCGATCCAGTTTCAATCTAGAGGTCCTCGGGGGCGGGGGTCGGTCGGACTCGGCGAGCCACGTCTTTCTCCGTGTATCTCGCGATCGCTGACAGATAGAGGCGCGCGGACAAGAGGGATAGAGGACTGTGGAGACCGCTCGAGCTCTGCCGGCGCGTTCTTCCGACTTCCGTCGCGATAGATCGGGTACGGTCCCGGTGACCGGAAGAGGGTACACGCGAGATTCGCGTCGGTCCCGCGAGACGGGACGCGCCGCGTCGCGCGACCGGGCCCGCCGGAAGACGCGTCGCGTTCGAAGCGTGACAACGCACGGCGCGGCGCGGCGCGACGCGACGAGGAACCGGGGACACCGTGGCCCGAGCGTAAATCGGGGGGATCGGAGGATCGGCCGGCGCCGATTATCTCGGGGAATGATAGTGAATCTCGCGTACCTGAGATCGTTGGATCGGTGGTGCAGGGCGCGGCGGCATGGTCCCGTCGCAACACAGCGCCGTTCGACGAGCACTGAGCAGCTATTCTGCGCCAACGGGGTTGCGTCGACGTCGAAAAGACGTGAACGGTCGCCCCGCGCCCCTCCCAACCCCCTACCAGCCCCGTCTCACCCCCAGTCGAGACTCGGCTCGCCACGCCGCGCCGACCCACCACCCCCCACGGTACTACCGACGCCACTCTTCAGGGTACTCTCACACGTATCTCACCCGACGACCGTCCTTCTTCCTCTCGCACTCTCTCTCTCTCTCTCTCTCTCTTCCTCTCCCGCTCTCTCACTCTCTTACTCTCTCTTTCGTCCCGTCTCGCTCGCCCTCTGCTTCTCGCGGTCTCTCTCGTTCCCACCCGCTGTCTCCGGCGCTGTTACCGTCCTCGAGGCTGCCACCCCTGTGGCACATGCGCGAATCCCCCCTGTCCAACAAAACTCTCTTCGTAGAGCTGCCAGAATTGGGAAAAACGGGCCGAGGGAAAAGGAGGAAGAGGCCACCAGAGGGGGCACTGGAACGGTCGCGATGCGTTTTCGAGAAAACGTATGTTCACCCGTTCCCCGCGATCCCTTTCCGCCCTACCAATCTCTCTCTCTCTCTCTCTCTCTCTCTCTCTCTCTCTCTCTCTCGCGTCGCTTTCTTTCATCGTCGTTTCCCCGCGCAACGCTCGCGGTGGTTCTTTGGGAAACCTATACCCCGACAATATCGATGACCTTGAAGCCTGTTGGAAATGTCAATGGCCTGGGTAACTTTGCTCGCGTACCGCCGCGGCGGTTTCGATGCAGCCCTTTCGGCACGGTGCACCGAGAAACTATGGACGTTGCGACTAACCGGTATCGATGGACCCATCGCGTTATTATGCGAGGACTGGCGCGAGGGAAAGATCGAATCCGATTGTTCTTGCCGAGCATTGTTGCCGCGAGGACGTGTGTAACTGTCCCGACAATCCGCGGATGTGACGCGAGCAAATTCGCGCTTCCCGGTCGACGAATTTCGATTGGAAAGCTCGATGGTACTAGTCCCGTCTTCGCAGCGTCGCTCCTTTGAAACTGTTCCACGCGTGCCACATGCGCTCTGTTGCTCGAATACAACGGAGCGGTCGAGCGCAATACCGTCGTCGCTTAACGGCAGCAAACGCGCCGGTTATCTTTGAGCGGTTCTCATGGAAATTCGATGTTTTTATTATTCAAAGCGAAACGATCTCCGAGCCGATAATTCGAGCAGCCGTCGAGTGCCGCATAGGTGGACCACGCGACGCGAGCCGCGGCTTTCTCCGCTTCCGTTCGCACCCCTAGCAGCATGCGCGCGCGCTCGACCCTCGAACGAAACTTTTCCCGCGCCTCCGGACCTTAATCCTTTCGGTACGAGCGCGCTGTCAGCCGTGATACTCGCACTGTACGGGGTGCCGCGCCGAAAATGCGCACATAGCACAGTGGGTCGGTCCACTTTTGTACGAAGATTTTTTTAAGTAACAACTGTGCTTAATCCGTTTCTAAATCTTTCGTTTCCTGCAAACATTCTGTAAAAGGCCTACAATATGTTCAAATCTATGAAGAAGTTTCGAACAAAAATGTAACCTCAAATTTTGTAAATCAATTCTGATCAAACGACGATTATACCTGTAGCTGTTTTTTCGGAATCCTTGTAAGAAAAGACTTTATTAGAATAATTTCTAATATGTCAGAAATATGGCTCGTACGAATGTCAGATGTATTCGGCGCTCGTCCATACCGGTCGTCGGATGGATGACGGTATACAGGGTGTCCCAAAATTACGGTATTTCGGGGAAACGAGGGGTTCCTGGGGTCGTTTGTAGTAACTTTTTCCTTAGCGAAAATGTTCTACGATGCTTCGTTCACGAGTTATCGACGAAAAACACTGACCAATCAAAGACGAGTTCGGTTGGCGCAAGGTAGCCGAGCCAATCAGCGGATCCGGGCTTCGCGCGCTCGTTGGCTCGACCGCCTCGCGCCAATCGAGCTCGCCTCTGATTGGTCACTGTTTTTCGTCGATAACTCGTGAACGAAGCCTCGTAGAATATTTTCGCCGAGGAAAAAGTTGCTTCAAACGGTCTCGGAAACCCCTCGTTTCCCGGAAATATCATAATTTTGGAACACCCTGTGTATCCGGCGCTCGGCCGCACAGGTGATCAGATGGATGCCGAAAGGGTTGAACCAGTCGATCGGAGTTGTTCCTCGTGGAGCACCGGGCCTCTCGCGAGCACGATTCGGCTTGGAACCGATTTCCAGGATCGTTCCCGGCGGGAGCTTCGGTCAGCCGCAGAAACGGTATAAAAGTTTTACGCTCCGGGTTTCGGCGGACACACAGAGAATTCGGGTGGGCCGAATCGGTCAAAGTTTCAGCACGCGCGCGGCGTAAAACTTCCATCGGAGGTACTTTTACGAGCGGCGTGCGCGACTGGCCGGGGCTACAAGGGCTGTAAAAAAATTTACTCGCGCGAACGATCGCAACCCGGAGCGCGCCGATGCTCTGATTTCTATTGTAGCCTGTATTAATCAATCGTCCCTTCCAAGCCACCGGGGGACTATTACCGCCGCGTCGCTTAGCCACCCCGTCGCTCTATCGCCGCTCCCATAAATCCGCTGCGACAAGACGCGATCTTTCGGAACACCGAGGACCGAATCGTAGCCGAGGTAGCTGCAGCCGATAGCGGTTCGATCGGCGCGATCTTTTCCTCCAAAGGGAATCTCGAACCTCTCGAATCCCGACGGTGCTCGCGCGCGCTCGGAATAAC